AACAAGTGATTTATATGAATTACGAGAGGATTATTTCCAGTTTAGAGAACATTTTATATACAATTATGTCTGTATTATGTATTTTATATCATTTGTAACAATCATACAGACGTTAGGCTTTACTTTCCCTCAGAGAAGTGAACCACATGCTTAGAAATAGGCCTTCTGTGTATATTTTTTAGAAGTTTTCGAGCATGCCTTAAAGTCAAGACGCCTTTCGACCCCTCCATGAAGCTCTGGTGACCCCTAGTGGGGGTCCTGACCCCCATGTTGGGAACCACTGCTATATGGGATGGACCAAAAACATTAAAACCTTTAAATAAATATGACTGTTTATGTGTATAAGGACTGTTGGTGTAAATTGTAAATATGTTTTTGACAACTACAATGATTTATTTTAATTAATAACACTTTAAATGTGTTTCATCTAATTAACCTTTCCGTAGTTGGCAGGTTTTGCTTTTACTGTATGTATAAAATTAAGAAAACCAGTAGCCCTGGTATGTTTACGGCTGTTAGTAGTGGATATTCACCAGGAGGCACTTTAACTTCAACTAGTTAAATCCGCCATGGTGACTCTGCAAATGACCCTGTGCTGTGTGTTTAGGTAAACAGATTCCACCCCTGGAAAACCCTGAGGTGGACAGCAACGACTCCTTTAAACTCACCAGACAGCCGGCTCCGTCCGCCAGGAGGTGCTGCTAGTACCAGCAGTGGCTGATGAGATTACTTCATCCACACACCGCGGGACCACACCAGCACACAGCACAGTCCACAATGCACACAGTGTCTCACTCCAGGGAAACACGACGACAGTGGACGGAGGGTCAGCTTTGCACGTGTGGTCAACTGCAACATGAGACAGAGCAACGTACCAACAGTATCATACGTGTGTGTCATTGCACATTTATTTCATTTAGTTGTAGCAGTTTCTGAGGAGGTCAGGAAAGCCTTCAGTTTGTCCCCTTCAGGTGGTGTTTTACCTGAACTGCATTAAGATTTCTGTCTGTGTTGCATGCATAGGTCATTGCAAAGAGGCAGTTTTTTTTTTTTATCCCATTTCACAACAACTTTTAAACTTCAGAACAAATTAATAACAAGTCATCTAGCTGATGTGCTTTTTAAAGCCGGGTGTTTGCTGTAGATGCAACTACATTTTCATTTCAAGAGTCAGCTGCTCTGTAGATTTTCGTCACACTGTGGCTCTCAAATCGCACACGTTAAAATGAACGTTTGTTTTTTTTAAATATTCATTTTTATCAAGGCTACACTTTTCTTCCATGGAGCTTTTATGTACGTGTATGTATCACTCTTGTATAGAATCGAGTTAGAGTATTTGAATGTGAGGTTGTGGAGATCAAACCTCAGACGAGCGTTCACTTCTGTAGCTTATATGCGGCGGCTTTACATTCCACCTCGTCATGTGTTCTCACACATTTGTTGCATAAGGGTTAACTGTAATGCTGCAGAAGGAACAGCTTAGAGGCCTAAATCGTAATTACAGTATGACACCCCCTGTTGAAACACTGTGACCGATACGAGAATTGTTTACATAGCGGTTTGTTAAAGATGTTTTCTACATGCTGAAATGTATTGTCTGAGATTTCACTACAGGGAATGACTGACTGCCAAACATGAGTTTTCCATGAAACTGGGTTACATTTATACTCTCTAGAGGGAAAAAGACCTGCATGTATTTTACTCTTAACATGTCTAAAGCTGTTAAACAAACAAGCAAACAGTGAGAATAGTCTTTAGCCCAGTTTAAGATTAACAGTATCATCTGCTGTTTCTTTGGCAGTAGTGTCCTTAGTTTGGATCACTTGAGAAATGAACTTGAGAAAAAAACTATTAATGTGGAGTAACTTTTTGTAAGTGGTTAATTGATTTATTGATCAAACATTAAAATGGACATGAACGTTGACTTACATAACAGTAATTACACAATAGAGTACATTTTCATAGCTTAAAAAAGAGTTTGTACTTAAATAAAGTTAGTACAAATTCAAACATAATTTTAAAATGGACCATTTTTACCAACATGTATCATGGGATAATGTAGTTTAATTCGTCATTTTTATTGCAATTATTGTCTCATTTTGTCAATATGTAGCATTCTCTTTAACAGAAAGTCACACCAAACTCCTTTAAAAAAACATCTGCCAATTAATGTGGCCTTACCTACTTGAAAAAAAGTTCCCATACATCCCAGAAAGTGACGTAACCTTTTCTGAGTTTCCATGGGAAAATGTGTATCACATATAATCACCAAAGTTAGTTTGCTTCAAGCAAAATGTCAGACATGTGACTACACTCTTCCACTAAACTGAATTAGTATCTGCTTGGCGGCCCAGATGTCCAGAGTGTCAATTTCACCAGCAGATGGATCAAAATTTCATAAAATGTAGCTTCATTTAAAAGCAGTTTGGTATGATTTAACCTGCTTACAAGAGACAATTACATATTGAGCAAAGAAATGTGATTAAAGGTCACATGTTGACATTGTGATGAGATTTCTAATATGAGTATTATATTTGTTGCCACAACAGTGCCTTTTTTAAAAATGTTTTTCTGAACAAGTGTATGACATGGCAAAAAAAATAAATAAATAAGCGTACTGCTAGAATAATGCATGAATTACTTGACTAAATCAGTACAGGCTAATTGTACGCAACTTTGAAACTGCCAATTATCTGCAGCCATCCTTATCCTGTATGTCTAAGTCATGCTTCCCTGTATCCTCTGTAGGCCTGATTAACTTTTGTATATTAATCAGTGTAATAAAGTAGTGATTATTCTATATTTCTGTGTTGTTTTTACTTTATGTCAAAAGACACCACTCTTTTTTTTTTTTAAACTAATTTACTTTGATTTTATGTTTTAAAGTTTTGTTGACGGAGACCAGAAGATGAGCGAGCTCCACTAACAAAAGGTCATGACTTCAATTAACCTCTTGACCTTGGGAGAACCTGTTTTTACACCTCACCTGAGAAACTTTGGAAGAGTGACATTACTCCGCCTCAACCTGCGCCAACCAACCAAAATAAGCAACACTTTACAAATTAGTCTTGTGTTATTTTGCACATAAATGGTTCATGTGACCTTTTGGGGGGAAAAAAGCTGTAAACAGCACAAATTACATGCAGAGTGGAGCAAATCACAGAAACCTGTTGAGTGCACAGCGGTGGATTACCTCCTCTAGAGCTTACAGTAGCGGAGATCTACACTGCTTCTCACGAAAGGTGGATTTTACCATAAAGCCACGGTTGTCAATGGTCTGGAAGAGAGTAAAGTGGGATAATAATAGTTCAAACAGACTGTATTTCACACACAGTGTTCTTCTTTTAAACTCACAGTGACGTGAACCCTCAAAGTCACACAAATTAAACATATATTGTTGTTTATACTGTTTTTTTCTCACTGGTTCTATTAAAATGTACACCTACATTTAATTACTACTAACAAGAACTCCAGACATGTTGCTTTTTTTGGTGCGTACACATTATCGACCATCTGAAGAACTTTCAAATAACTAATAATAATAATAATACCATGTGTGTTAATGTGTTATAATAAAGTGTTCTCTTAAAAGTGGGGAAAAAACAACTCAACATAATAGCTTAAGACAGACACACTTATGGAAGTAATTTTTTGGTAAATTAATTTTAAAAATCACATCTATTCTTTATGCCTTTACAACTAGTAATTTTAATTAATCTTGACTATGAAATAGCCTGAATTAATTAATATTAATACCTGTAAATTGGCAAAGATGTCGGTGAATCAGAGAACAGAATAGTCAAAGTTTTAGATTTAGAAACGGTGTTAGTGTAGTGTATCTCACTCTGTACATAACCTAGCATAACATTGTGTAAGGTCTATACAATTAAAAGTTTTAAGGGAGTCCCAGGCTAATATGAGGAGCGTCACCATGTGTTGATAATGTGATTTTAAGTGTATGAGCTAATTAAGAGTTAAAGGAGAACACTAATAAGTCCCACATGTGCGGCCAAAGTGCTAGTTAAGTTAAGTGTTAAGTTAATAGTGTGTTTTTTAACCTCAAAAACAGAACATGTAGTAGTAGAGTAAAACGTTAATGTCTTTACAGACATTAGTCCAACACAAATATACATCAATGGTTCCCAACATGGGGGTCGCAAGGCCTTCTTTAATTTTATCATATTTATTTAAGATGGCCTGATTCTGACCACTTTGTTTATTCTTATGTAGAAAATCTAAATTAAATTTTAGATAATTATTGAAGATCTAAATGTTGCAGACCCAGAACACAAGCTATCCTGTATGATCAGATCTATTTTGTCTAAAAAAGAGGCCTATTAAGTACTTAGGATTGTTAAAAATAGAAAGAAAAAAACACATAATACAGACAGAGAATTGTATAAAAAGATCCCTAAAATATCAGGAAAACTAATCTCTGATGTAATATTTAATAATCTGTTAGGAAACTCATCCAAACCGATCAACTTCCTGCTGTTGTCGTGTTCGTTATTTGGGTTCATTGTGAGGTTTATCAGCTATTCTGTGTTGTTATAGTTATGCACTGAATATAATTACTCAGCAGTGTTGGACTAGTTAGTCATTACTCTTTTAAAAGTAATATAATTACTCATTACTCCCTACAAACAGTAATTAGTTACACTACTAGTTATATTACTTTACTCCTACACCTCACAGAATTGGTAATTGTGTCCTTTCTCCCCAAAATTTAGATTTCCGACGAGTAAAATCCAGTTTTGTTTGTTCAAATCAAATTAATGTGAATATTTCTAGCTGCTGAATGCTTCCATGTGACTGAATTGTTGGATTTCAAATCAGTAGAGGGTATAAAAATATTGTAATTAATTACTTTTTGGAGGAGTAAGATAAGATAATGCTCCTTTATTGATCCCACAGTGGGAGAAATTCAAGTCAGACACAGCAGCAAAGTGGGAAATGTAGTGCAAAAAGTACAATAAAGAATAATGAAATATTATAAATATATAATATATAAGACTATAATAAAAAATATATAGGCCACACTATACTGTAACTGTTATTAGTAGTAATGAGTAACTGCCCCAACACTGTTACTCTGATAGAAAATAAAGGGGGATTCCTTAAAGGTAAAAAAAAATAATAATAATAAAAAGATATTGTAACTAATTACTTTTTGGAGGAGTAATAGAAGATAATGCTCCTTTAGACTTAGACTTCTCTTTATTGATCCTTTTGTGATGACTATATAATATGACAATAAACTGCCCCAACACTGTTACTCTGATAGAAAATAAAGGGGGATTCCTTAAGGTAAAAAAAAATAATAATAATAAAAACATATTGTGAATACATTAATAAACCAGCACAGGTTATACACCACACATTTAACCCCCTACTGGCCGCGCAGGAGACTCGTTTCACAAAGCGCCCGTCCTCCCACTGTGCACTCGCGCTCTTAACTACTTCACCGCACTAATCACATCATCGAGCCACGAGCGCGCGCAACAGGGTTCTGCGCTCGCGCGTTCGAGTATTTGTAACCCACATTGCTCGCTCGCGGACAGCTCAGTCAGCAGTTGACTCAGTGGCGGCAGGGGGAAGCGAAGATCTGTCAGTTAACTCAAACCAAGTGCATCCCTCCTCCTCTCTTCTCCTCTCTTCTCCTCTCTTCTCTTCTCTTCTCAGCGAAAATGGTAAGGTTGGGATACAGATTCCTCATGACCTCGACCCTCCATCCGACCTCAAATTTAAAGGTTAGGTAACACACAGCAGTCTTTATCGGGACCGCGCGCCGCTCGTGCCGTCTTAATGCTCAGGAGTACGTGGGCCGCCTAAAGCATATAATAATAGAGAAGATATTTTTTTCTTTTTTTTTTTTATTTTTTTTTTTTTTTTATACCTTACAAATTCTCGTTGTTAGCGGCCCACTCGCCTTTTTTAAAGTTGCTATAGCTACAAAGACTGTGGCCGGGCTTGTTATCCTCGCGCTGTTAGTGACGTGGATGGGCCGGCTCGTGGCGTTGCTTGGTTGCATCCGTACTGTATGCTACTTGATTCAAACCCTAGGTAAAACAAAGATGTGTTGCCTTGTTTGTTGTTGTTTGTTGTGTGTGGTTGTTGGTGTTTTTGAAGACAATACAGGTTTTTTTTAATATAGTGATCACGTTGTCTCTCCCCCTTTTTTTTTTTTTGTGCTACATTGTTAGATGCGGTTTTTTCCGGCGCGCGCGGTTTGGGACGGGCTCGCAGCTTTTTATTCCCCTGAAATCAGCTCAATTCCCCCCCGTCCTCCGTCCCCGGCCCCCCCCTTGTAGCTTTCTCGTGGCCGGGTGGTTATTGGAAGGAGAGGAGAGATAAACTTTTCCTTTTCTATGTTTAAGGGATAAACTGTTCGTCAATGCTGACACACGTCGGTTTAATACACGCCAGCTGGTGAAAGTCGGTTTTAGTGTTCACTAACTTTGGGCTAATGCCTATTTTTACAGACCTACAGAAACTCACAGCAACCATTTAAGGGCATCGTTATTAGCTCGTCGCCCGCGGTCGAGGCGGTTAACGAAGCAGTTTTCGTGTAATTATGATACCTTCGGTGAACGTGTGTCGGGTGGGGGTTTTGTTTCACTGGATGTTTAATGAGGTGTCCGCCATGTGACAGTGTGAACGCGTGGTTCGCGTTGTATGTGCAAAAGCTAGGACCTCGCTCCAACGAACTAATTACAACGAAGTTTATTTAGGGTTGTCAGTGAGAATCAATTTCGTAAGCTTTCTCGTACGGTGAGACGTTACAAACAGCAGGAAGCCTATAATTGTTTCTTGTATGTTTGGTTGGTACATGCAGTTGGTTAGTGGGCTCCACTGTTTATCGCAACCAAAGCTTGCTGACCACTCATTTACTCGTCGGCCATTTCAGTAAAACCTACTCCACACCAATATCCGGAACCTGCAAATGTAAAGGAACTTTTGGTGTAGTCTCAGCGAGCCCTTTTTTTCTTGCTCCCCCGTTGATCTTTCCCCAAGGTGTTCACTGTTGCAGTGGTTGGTTTTTTGGCTGGGTCGGCGGCAGAAAAGACAGCAGGTGAAAAGATTGTCGACTGATTTGAAGTTTCTCTGTATGCTACTGCTGCCATAAGGCCAATAATGCTGTAGAAAATAAACAAGATACATACCAGCAGGTGAAAGTATTTATAAGGACATTACTCATTTTAACATCTAATTCGGTGTCTGCATTTTTGTATATTGTCCCCAGTTTTAGTTTCTGTTTCTTCTGAACACTGTTTTGTTGCTCCCTTCAGCCTATGGTCTTTGGCTGCCGATCCTTAAGGGGCTGGTTGTTTGGTTTGGTCTAAGTATGTGCAGATTGCAGTGTTTGGTATATACCTCCACTTGTGTGCTGTGGAAAGGGTGACCAGTTAAACATACACAGAAGTACTTTCCTTGTAAAGGTGCGAAAGATGTACTTTCAGGTGGTTTTAACATCTGTGTGAAACTCGATCCGTTGTATTACATTCTTCTCGTAGCGGACCAGGCCATGAGCGACCAGGTTAGAACCGCTCAGCCGCTCGCATAAGGTATGGTAATGACGCATGAGAAGCGGCATGTAGGTCTGCGTATGTAAGTCATTTGCTTATTTTTGATAAACTCGGGGGTTGATCTCGCTGTTTTCTTTAGATAAAGCTTAGTGGTGTTTGGTTTTGTTTTGAAATCCTTTGTATAAACTTACACTTCAGGTGAGCTGTGTGATTGGCGAAATAGGCTATAATGGATTGCGATTAGATATGGAGAGGTACAGCGTGAATAAATCGAACATGAGATTTAGGTGAATTTGAATGTTGTGAGCCCAAGATTAGTGTAGTTGTTGGACTTTCTTGAGTCCTCGTCTTGTCTGATCTGGATGTTGATAGTGTGTGTTGTGTTGGAGGGTTGTGGGAACTGGTTGCCAAAACGGTCCGTGCCATCGCAGTCATCAACCCCGTGGCGAGTCTTTGTGTGTAGTTCGAACCCGGGAAGATGTAAGCGCGCGGGAGTAGGGTTTTCCTGGATGGAGATGTGGTTTACGTCGCGGTGAGCGAAGTGTGTCCTGTACTATCCTTCCGCGTCAAAAGTATGACTGCTAAACGAATGTGCCCTGGTATAGGAAGAGATAGTTAACTTTTCTTTAATTGCGATGAAAATAGGAAATATAAAAATCTAAAGGTCTATCAAATACGTGCTAAATTAACATGCTTTCTCTCCTTTCACGGTTGTACACAATTCAACGCTGGAGGTTTAATTTTAAGGTGCATCCTCACTAAACGCACAGAAGAGCAACATGCCAATCACCGTTGATGGCGTTGTGGTTTGGCTCGCGCTCCTGTCCGCATGTCTAGAGTCAGCCCGCGTTCAAGTTTTGGTTGAAAAGTAAAACTGTCGGAATGCTGATTGCTGCCTTCTCGCTGAGTCACCTGAGTCAGGTAGTTGTGTTGTTAAAGGTGACAGACCAATTGAAGAAAGTTAGGCACGGAGATACGGCCGGGAGACCACTTACGTCCACACTATAAGCAGAACATATGAAACGTCTAATACATGAGCGCATTGAGGCACACGGTAACTGGGTCCCCAATAACGGAACCAATCAAGAAGGACACGAATGGCTCTCAGCGTAGATTCAGTCCAATGTAGTTTGTGCGACAGGTTAATCGGGTGCTTCAGCATAGTCGGGCGTGTATAAGTCGAAAAAAAACAGTCAAACGCGACCAGATACTATAATGATATGTTTGTCTTTCTGCTTGGATTGTCACCTGTATAGACCTGTCGAAATT